TCCCAGTCCATCAGGGGAGTGACTGGGTGGGACTATGTCTGTCAGCCAGCACCAACCCACCACAATGATCCAAGAAAATAAAAAACTTTGAAGTAGAATACCTAGTAAAGAGGTGTTTTATGTAGCACTTTTTATAAAAGAAATTATTTGACCTAAAACTAATTGTTCTGAGGAACAGAAGAATACACAAACATTACAGAAGTATTATGGAAATAAGTATAAACTGTGTAGATACGCTGGAACAATGTTCCACCTCAGTTATGACACTTTCTCTATCTTTCTTCCAAAACAGTAATACTGGCAAATTACATTTATCACTTTTTTAATAAAAAAGCTGACATCCATGTTGACTCTGCTATTAGATTATGTTTGCAGCATTTTTAAGTTGAGTGACTCCCAAGTCTTTCCTTTTAGGAAGCGTTGCTTAGAATTCTTTTAAGGTGTTTCTTGTGTCTGCATATGCAGAAACCTCCTGGACATAATTTCATTTGAAACTATGGTATTTCAAAAATTCTTTTAAGACCATGGTTAAACAAAACAAACCCACCAAACAAACAAAAAGTCAAAGATATTATTTTGTTGTTGGTACAGTTTTCATTAGATGAATTAATGTATTTTTTGTTTCTTTATGGAGCATGAAAGCTTGTAAACCTTGTTTTGATTATTTTTGTTCATATCAAGTTTTGGGTTTTATTTGAAGAAAACTATTTGTAAGACTGAATGAAGAAATTAATGAATTCTTTTTCAGGCCTGATGTAAAAGACTGTGGGCTGGGAAATTTCAGAAATAAAGGTTTCTCTTTTTGAGTTTGCTAGATGCTTACAAGACTGATTTATCATGTTCCAAGTGTAAAAATCTTCTTCAATTTTCAGTTGCTCAGGTTTTAGTATTCTCTAAATTGTAATTTAATAGAGCCAGTTGTTCTTCAGCAATCCACAGAAATCTCCAGGCAAAAAAAGAAGTCAACAAAGAAGAAAATACTTGATATTTTTAAGAAGACAAAACCCCCAAAACATATTAACCTCCCTGCCTACACCCCTATCAGGATTTTCTTACATAAGCTACTGAAGTAATGTAAATATTTCCCAAATAGCTTGTTTCACATCCTTCCAAGTTTTATCAACTATTATTCTTCTTAAATAGATTGCATGCTAATCCTTTGGTGCTTCTGGATGATGTCGTGATTCTTTAAGCAAAAATAGTGTTTTAGTTTTCTATAATGTATTACTGTACTGTTTATTCAGTGCTTAGATTGGCTCTAGCATGGAATCCTTGAGACTGTGCTTCACTAGGGTGGTTTTGTACCTGGGTTACTTTACCATGTTTTTCAGCCTTCCTCAGGTGTCCCTGCATGACATTACCTCTGGCAGTGTAGCCATGCCCTCTTGGCAAAGAGAGACAATTTTTGGGGCTAGTAAAGAGTTGGAGGACTTACCTCTGGTTTACTCCCATAATGATGCTTTACACATTGCAAGCAGCATCCATGCTTCCAGCCATTGTAGGATGTTCATATCATATAACATTATAAGATTACTAGTGAGTCCGCTATTCTGTAACCGTCTGTCTAAAGGCTTGTCAGTGTCTCACTCATAGTGACCTTCTAGATGTTGCAATAACTCAGTCACTCTGCCTTTTTCTGTGCTCCATGTTCTCATGTAGAGCTCTGAAATTTGCTCAACACACTTTGCTCAATCATGCTTTAGGTTTATGTATATCTCATTTAAAGTGTGTCCCAGCTGAAACAAACCTAGGGCAAGTTAAGGTGTAGTGGTACCCTTTATGCTTTTGCAGTCTTAAATGGTGATTTAGGTTTGATTACCAATGAGATGGCAGAATAAAATATTTTAAAAATAAGCTTATATGAGTAACAGTGAATGCACAGCTGCATTAAGTGAAAAAAGAGTGTCAAAATATAAATGAATGTTGCCAGTAAGAAGATTGTATTCCTCAAGTTACAGAACTTGCCAATGAAACAAGATGTTTAACAAGACAGTGGTGGTAGGGGTTGAAGGAAGTAATTCTTACATCTCTTTGCCTCTTTTCCCTGATGACAAATGAAAAAATTTTCTTGTTATTAAGGTTTGAATTTTGACTAATATCAAAGACTCTTCATCAAAGTCAATCCAGCAGAATATATTTTTACAAGTACCTATTGTGCTGCCACTGTTAGACGCTAACAGAAGAAGTGTTAGCGCACATGGAGTTTTACTAAGTTGAATCTACAAAAAGACATTGAAATTTACAACCAATTTAGGTATTTGAAAGATTACTTCTGTCTCCTTTTCATGCTTGAAAACGAAGTGTCTTTCTGCCCCACTGCCCTCATTAAAAGAGCGTTTAGTCTCCAGTCTCTCTAAAATTGTCAAAAAAGCTTTAGCAACTGATTTGGGAGGCCCAAGCCCACTGAAAGCAAGACATACAGACACACTTCCTAAGACATCCTTAAAAATGTTTTCAGTAAATCATTTAGTCAAATCAGTGCAAAATGAGGAATTAGAAGATAAAGATGACTGGAAATTACAAAAGTTCATGAGGTATGTCATTTTCCCCTATTTGTCCCATCTTCTCCCTAACTCCTTGCCTCTCTCTCTCTTTCCCCCTCCCCACCTTGCTCTACCAAGCGTATTCACATTGCCCTTTCCAGACTCTGTTTCACCTCCTTCTTTCTCCAGTCTGTTCTCATTCATTCTCTCACAAGAGTCTTTTAATTTTTGTTTCTATTGTCTCTGTGTCACAGCCCAGTCAATCTTTTGGACTGTACCTTTCAGATTTTCCTTCAGCTTAAATCTGATATTTTCCTTTATGATTCCTTAGAGTCCATAACCTCCGTTTGTTTGTCTCTGTCTCCTTAGCATAGAACCCATTTTAGACCAGGGTACATGGCTTTCTGTCTTACTGGAAATAATAAAAGATGTGGGCTTTTAGAAAGACTATAATCTAGCCTGTGATGAGTTAGTGTGCCTTGGCCAAATGCCACAGAGAGATAATTGTCTTCTTTGTAGCACTAAATGGTTGTCTGCTTGGTTTCACTGATTATCACATAGCTGGAGGAAGGGTGCTGTTGAGATATTATAACATCTTAGTTTTTCCTTTCTTTTCCCAGATCTGCAAGTATTTCATGTTTTCTGCCTTGCTAATCTAGAGGTAATGATCTGGCCAGGACACACTCTTTCTTTTTTTTTTTTTTTTTTTTTTTTCAGAGATCATTCTTGGGAGGCTTTTTCTAACTCCTAACATATTCTTTCTTTGATAAACCTGGTTCTTATTCTCTCTGGGCTGTTTCCCTTTTCCTTGCACCCTTCCTTACACAGTAGAATAGTGCAAAATGACTGTCCTGGTTTCAGCCAGGATAGAGTTCACCAGGTGGTGAGCAACTGCATGGGGACTACGTACAGCAAAGGTGATAAAATCTTGAGGAGCCAAGAAATAGACATTATGACCCGATCTGTCGTTATCTCAACACTTGTGTGCCCCATGTTGTGTGCCAAAATTACTGTTGTGGTTTGAATTTGGCCGGTAGCCAATCACCATGCAGCCAGTTGATTACTTTTTCCCTTCCTCCTCGGTGAAAGAGGGGAGGGATAAAAAAAAAGAGAGAATTCATAGGTTGAATTAAAAAAAAAAACCAACAGTTTAGTGATAGTGACAAAACGACATCAACAATAAGAAGTCTAAATACACAATGCGATTGCTTACCACCTGGCGACTGGTAGTCATCTGGCCCCCAGCAGTGATACCGACATCATGAAGGATTCTACCACAATGACCAGAAGCAGAAATGCAAGAGCACACACCTCATTTATAAGCTGAGCATAATGTCACATGATGCGGAATATTCTAATGACCAATCTGGGCCTGGCCCTCCAGCTGTGCTGCCTCCCAGCCCAAGGAAAGTTAACCCTATCCTGGCTAAAACCAGGACAAGGACTTACTGTAAATTATGACCAAATGGTCAGTTCTGACTGCTTTTCAGTTTTGGCCAGAGTGCTTCAGTAACCCTCAAAATGAATAGTAAGGGTTAATTATTCAGGGAAAAAGAAATTTACTTTGCCCATAAGTGGTTTTGGCACATGAAGACAAAAATCTCAGGACAGCCCACATGCCATGCGTTTCTTTTGCCTATTTGTAAAGTTGCAGTGTAGGTTAATTACATTTGTCTTTCTGTCTCTGTCATAGCTTAACTTGATCTCTTTATTGCTGCTGTTCATAGAAGCGTCAGATTTTCAGAATTTATTTTAACTTTTTGTTCATGTTCTGCTGGTGTTATTATTAGGATTATTAGCACTAGCAATAATACTATGGTCCATTGTTATCAAGTATCCAGAGGATGATACATTTTTCTTTGGCAAGGCTGGCTATCTGATATCAAAGATAATAAATCCGCACTTTAAAAAGTAATGTATCTTTACAATGCATTAGAAAACAATCTTACCTTGAATTTATGAATTGGTTCTCCTATCTGTTATGATATTTGATAGTGGATCACAATTTCCTCTACTTTCTACCAATAATATACAGCATATTCTTCTACCTCTGACTCTTAGTTTCTTTTTCTACGTTTTAGATTATTTTTCTTGAGAAGCCCTGGAGAAGGATGAGCCAGGAAGACAATAAGGGACAGATAAATTCTATGTGTACAGGAGGTATTCTCATTATCTTCTGAGAATATCTCAAAAGAATAAAACAAATTAACTGGGAACAGTGAAATGTGACAAAGCAAGCGTCTCCAGAAATGAACATTTGTCCCCACTCTTTTTTCAGCTAGGAGCCTGCTGCAGTATTCCTACAAATAAATATAAACTCCTTAAATTAACCTCCTACAGTCAGATGTATACCTTATAAGTTGGAGTACAAACCTGCTTTCTCTAAAAAGGTGATATTTTCCACCTTCCTGAAGAATGTCATTGGCTTGATAGATGCATTCCTTATTTAAACAGTATATTTCTCTTTTTAAGCAGCAAATCTCTTGTGAGTAAATAAACTTTTTCTTCTCTGTACTAGTTTTCCTGTCCTCTTACCCCCTACCTTTGGAACACAGAAAATGGCTTATGCTTTGGTAAGTAACCCACCATATAAACATTTATTCACCATTACTTATATAAGAAAATATACTACCTTATTTTTTTAAAATATTAGAATTAGCACATTTGCCCTGTATCTGACTAGCTTTCTGCGAGGCTGGCATAATACATTGATTTATACAGTGGGATGAGCTAGGAAACATTTTAAATCTGAAATCTTATATTCTGCTGAATGTAGCAAACATCATGAAAAGAGCACCAAATGTGCAAAATCTGCCAGTTTTCCACACACATGCACTGTAAATAGTCCTGCCAGGGACTCAAAAATTGCAGAATGCAGATATGAGTCTTTTGGAAATCTATCTCTCAGTGTACAGCATGGTCATTAATATGACATTCCCATATCGTAATTATGTACAGTGCATTATATTCCTGGCTTTTTCTGCGATGGTATTGTAAAAGACACTCAACCATATTCGTTATTATTATTTTGTGCTCTCTGAAAGTGTATTTATTACAATATTCAGAAGTTATTATTGTACATTACAATGTGGTTCCTCTAGTCTGTGAACCTGAGATATCCAGTGGAGAGCCAAATACTGTGCTGATGAGTCCCTTCGAGCTTTTAGAAATCTGCAACCACTGCTATATTTAAACTAATCTTAACAAACATGACATCAGATATATTCTTCCAGCTCCAAAACTAGGTTTTATATGTTTCAGTTTCTATTCTATGTGATGTCTGCAACTGGAATATTTTAAAAATGTTTTTTACATGACAGTCATTTTATTTCTTGTTGATTTGTCATCCAGTCCTTGAGTTCTGCAGTATGTGTATTTTGAATGTCAAAGAACTGGTCTTTAAAACATACCTAGCATACCTAGGACTTTCATGGAATTGTTGAAGAATTTTATGCCTTCTAAGGTGATATAGTCTTTTACAGCTAGGTTCTGATCATTGCTAGGCTCGTCTGAATCTACAGATCAGTCTCTTCCAATGGTGTGTTTACTGACACTCTAAAGAAGTGAACGCGAATTTGTTAAAGCACAAATTAAAAAAATCTAAACAAGAGAACAGGAAGGAAGAATAGGGGACTATGCAGTCAGGTGTCTTGCAGTGACTTGCAAATTAAATACACTGAGAAAACATCTTGATTCAGGGACTGCTGGAGGGTACAAATGAGTCTTGCTGTTTGGTTTGTTTATGTGCTTCCGTTTTAAAAGACAAATGTAAACATTTAAAAATACCCCATAAAAAGTATTTAGCAACTGTTTTACTAGTTACTAACCTGTTTTTTTTTTAATATGTATTATAATAATGTAAAGTTTTTATTTGGCATTTTGGAACTTTCACTGTCAGGAAAACCATGCTTATTCCTCGATTTTGAGGAGTCATCAAAGGGGATACTGACAGAAAAAAAAAAAGGCATAACACTATCATGAGTGCATGATTCATTCAGAGTTGCTACTGAATTTAGTATGTATTGAAGAAAAATATTAGTCAATTTCAAAGTAAAATAACTGATATAAAAAAATTTAACGAAGTTTAAGATATTTGCATTAGACACAATGTGATAAGTCTATAAAATAAATAATAAAGAAGACATTTATTTGTCTTTTATTGTAACTTAAGGGTAAGCCATAAAGCAAAGCTAGAATATTTTGGTCAGTTCAGAATGAATTCACCTTTCTATTCCTTTTGGGTTGACATAGAGACAAAATGCTAACATGTAACAGAGGCATATAGGAAAAAAGCAGACCACTAGACCTATATTTATCAAAGAAACCCCATAAACAAAAAGCAAACCTGGAAAAGTATGTGATGAGTGAAAGCTTCTAGCACTTCAACATGTTGGTCTTTTGCAGCTCAGTTCCAAATGTATTAAATTTGTGCCCATTAATTTACAAATCTGTCCTCCTTTTTTTTTTTTTTTTTTTTTTTTTTATGCCAATATATCTTTTTACAGTTGGAGTAATACAGTCTTTTTCATAACTTTTTTAAAGTCCCAAAAGAAATTATGTTTTCTGACTGTTTCTGAGAAGAAAATAGAGTGGCAGAAATACTGAATCTTGGCTTCCTGGGTTTGACTGGGAGACCACAAAGGGTAAGGTCTACAACAGTACGGAAAATTGACTTCGCTGAGGAATAGCAGTTAAATCAAAAAGGCTTTCAGAAACCATTTAAAGCACTTTTCATGTATCATAAAGAAGAGCACAGGGTATAAACAGAAACATTTCATGGTACTTTGTCAATATGTGTGCCTGGAGGTAACTATTATTTTGGAAGACCATTACCCATCTGTTGGCAGTTTCATAAACAAATATAAGTAATGGCAGAATAATTTGTGGGCTTTTGAATCACTGCTGGAAGTGACACAGGAGGAAGAAAACACTGAGCTAATGGAGAGTGGGCATGACAAGATGCTGTCATCTTGGATGAAATGAGTCGTGTGGGAGGAAAAAAAGCTTGAATAATCCTTGGAGGAGTGTACCATCTGCTGCTAAAAAGGATGCATCAACATGTGCGTGCGCATCTCTATGTGTCCATCACAGTGGCTGTGTGGAAAAGGTGTGGTGACCAGCCCGAAGTGAACAGAAAGCAAGAGATGCAGCAGGCACACAGAGGACTGCAAAGTGAATGTCTGTGGCAGACAGAACAGGCTGGGAGACGGGTAAGAAGTGGGTGAGATTCAACCAGCAGAAGGACTGGGAGAATGCAGTTAATGGATAAAAGCTGCCTGTGCAATGAGGTGTGGTGGTCCACCTCAGCAAAAAGCTCACATCACAAACTGAGTTCCTGCTGCAGCAGTCAAGGATTTTTCAGTGTTTGTAATATTATTTATAAATCCCCAGCTCAAAAGTGGCTACCTTTTGGCTTGAGTTCACTGTTTTTTACTGATGCAATGCAAAAGGTTAACTAGAGCAGGCCACAGACCCCCCCCTTGGACTAAGGAATGATTGGCATTGGCCTTGCCCCTTGCTACCCTGACTTTGTTCAGCCTGTGTTTCCTGACTGTGTCTGCAATTTCTGTGGCCCCTCAGCAGCCTGAGGTGTTCCTGTGAAAAAAACTTCTTTTGAACATTTGTCTCCAAAGCAGAATGCTTCCTGCTGGAAAAAGTTACGAGAATGGGAAGCATTGGTTGGAAATGGTTAAAAGGGAAAATAAGAAAAAATGCAACAATAATAAAACTGCTTTGGTGTCTGTGAGTTTTGTCCGTAAAGCATTTATTTCCTTTTCTGGTGTTCTCTATAAATAGGAAACAATAATAATAATTCTCATTGTTTACAGAATCAGACACACGCAGAATTTATTGGTGCAGAAATGAAACAGTATTATGACTGGTAGACCAATAAGACTTACTTGTTAGTGGCTTACTGCAAGCATAGAAGGTTGGTAGCCTAAATAAGTGTCCCTCAAAAAGACTAGCTTAGCTTTCTTGAGGTATTAAAAAAAAAAAAATCTTTTAAAACTTAGAAACAGTGCAGTAAAGTAGAAAAGTAGTGGCAGAAAAAAGCCTCTGTAGTCCCATAGGCAAAACAACAACTAAATGAATGAAATTGAAGCCAAACAAAGGGAAAACTAAAAAATAAGGAAGTAAAAAAGACCTAACAAACAAAAGTTATTAACTTCCAAAAGAGGCTATCAAAACAAGTCATGGCTTCATCATATTTTGATGTCTTTTTTTCAGGTTTGGATTACACCATGTTTGAATCAGAATAGGTGTGAGATGAACAGAAGTTAGTAAGCTCAGCCCAGTAGAGAAGGGTGGAAGTGCTGAGGTGCGGTAAGTGCTGAAATCACCACATGGATCACTGGAGTATGCAAGACACGGGCAGATACAGTAGGGAGCTAAAGAATATACTCCTCTCTAAGAAAGAATGGCCGGTGAAAACAAATAACTAGTCTTATAGAAACTCAACTTTGATAATGTAATGAAATTAAAGTTCTTCATTTTTCCAGCACTTTGGGGGCAAAACCAATTTTAAGTAATTCTTTCCCCTTTCTTTGCCCTTCCTGAGTTTTTGTTTCTCTGAAACTTTGAAAATGTTGGGTGTTTTTTGTTTGTTTGTTTGTTTGGTTTTTTGTTTCCATATGTCACTTTTAAAATTTGTCCTCTCTTTCTCTTTGTTGTGAGTTGACTATATTATTGAAGCCCTTGTCTTTGGGTTTTACAGGCAACAAACTTATCCATGTACCTACACTCATGCTATTTTCCAGTGCTCTGATAGTGCAAAGGTGTTTTCCAGTAGACATTTTAATAGTGTTAAACAATGGTAGATGCACATCTCTCAAGTGAGCTCATGGCTGCAGTTTCTGTTGGCTTCAATTCATCTGGGAGGTGCAAAACATGTTTGAAAATACCTGCAATACATTTGAAAATACCAGAGCAGAAGTACTCTGGCATGTGTTCCTTTATATGTACAGTCTTTAATGGCTAAATAGTAATCCTCATTGTTTAGATGATGAAATGAAGCATGCTGTGATGTCAAGCCACTGGAATTTTCCTGTGGGTCTTGAAGTTTCTCCATTTGCTGCATCACTGATGTGGATGTGTATTTGTTTTTGGCTTGTCCTCAGCACAGAAACAAACTTTAAATAAACTCAACTGAAGCATTCACAAAGTGCAGTCATACTGACAGCTTCCATCCCTCCACTAATTAATTCTGATTTTTGCTGCAATCCATGTATAACGTGCATCATCCTTGAATAAATGAACAAATGCATATGGAATGGTGTCTGCTCAAAACTGATACAAGTAGAAAAAAGAAACTCTGTACCCCAAGGACATCTTTTATTTTTATTTTTTAAAGTGGTAACTGCTCTGCTAACAGTTTGGAAGATGGAGCTATTCAGAGGGCTTATTTAGTCTTATCGGGAAAGAATTGTGAGAGAGATGTGAACCATACTTTTCTGAGCATATGAAAGAGCAGTTGCTAAATGCATTCCAAGATTAAATCATTGTGCGTTAAAGATACCCTATAGCAGAACAGGAACTTATTAAGTGTTATCATCTTCTAAAATTTATTTCAAAATGCTTTGTTATTTTACCACCATGTGTATGCTTGAACATTTATTCTATTTTTTTTTTAAATTTTATTTTTGGTCAAACCATTATGAATCACCTGTTCCAAGAATGGCTAGTAAACCTGATTTCAGTGTGTGCTGAGGGAATTTTAGGAAAAAATCACATTGGAGGATGTACAGTTTCAGCAAGGAATTTAGAGATGTGTGAGAGAGCTGATGAAGTAAATAATTATTTTCATCTTGCCTATCAAAAGCTTTTTCTCATGAGGCATGTAAGCAACTTCAGCATACTAATGAATGCTAGCTTTATGGGATTGATCCATAAAATGGAGTGGACAGATGTATGGTAATTATGAAAATTAAGCAAGTATTATAAAATTCAACCATTTAAAGTTGTTTAAAATCCATGCATGGCTTTTTATATTTTGATTATGCTAAACAAATTTAAAAGTGATTGAAGACATTTATAGGCTGCTACAAGTAAAATACCATGACATGAGTGCATGTTACCTTGATTATGCATTTAGAAGTTACTTGATGAGAACTGTTCACACTTCCGACAGTGGAAATCAAAGTGAAGTTAATTGATGGGCTCCATTTATTGGTATCTTGGAAATAATCACAGATCTGTAGTGTGCAATAGATAATTACTTTTTCTTGTGAGTCAGAAAGAAAAATATGAAAGGTAAAGCACTAAAAAAAGTTAGTTTAGAAGTAACATAGCTGCATATAAAATTTTTCAGAATTAATTCACCTTCCTTTTCAAAATTAATTCACCTGTAAGAGGACTACACTGCTCTTGATACCTGAAGCAGCATGTTTTGAGCTAGCTTGAGTATCTCTATCGGAAACTGAAATGTAAATTGAGACCATAGGAAGACATATCACTTGCCATAAAAATCAAGATTCAGAAAGACAGTAGTAAAGTGATCAGTCTTACTGATTTTCATCATATTGATGGCTCCTTTTTTATTTGTAGTGTCAGTCTTGGAGTGTAATTTAAGAACACACCTGAAGAAGAGTGGACCAGCTAGGGAAAGAATAGGAGAGTGTTACTTTCTTTTTGAGCAGGGAATAGCAGTTTACAGAGGTTTCAGAATATGCACAGGCAGGAATAATGAGACAACGGGTGTGGAGTTAGGAGTATGTAGCTCTGACAGGGACTGATGAGGAGAATAGGGAACATACAGTTAAACATGAGAGCTGACAGAAAGAGAAACTTTGTGGGAATTGGTAGGGACTCTTCTAAGCTTGCTAAAAACTTCAGCGATATCGAGCCACCTGGGTGAAACTATTAGCCATGGAGCGTCCCTCCAGTGACCCATAACTTTCTAACTTTACAGATAACAGTCTCAGTATTCAAAATAAATCCGTACAGATTAAAAAAAAAAAAAAAGCAAAAGGAAAGAAAGCAAGAAGACAAAAAACCCCCAAACATTAAGTTCCTGTTCCAGAGTACCATGTGTTCATTTACATTTAAACCACCAGTAGCATGACATTTTCCAGAGCCACTGGTGATGTTCCTGTGTGAAATTTCTTCTCTCTCCACCTGTGCCTTTTCTTAAGGAAAGGAATGTGCTAGTTTCTAGTTATTATTGTTTATTATGTTTAGTTTAATTTCAGAAAAAAATCAAATGACTTTAAATAATTTCCTTTTATTTTTAATTAGGCTCAATATTTGAGTTCTCATGCAAACCTAGAATTTTAAGAGTGAGATGTTGCTCTGATGTCTTGGTTTTCGACAGTGTACCCGATAGCCAGCAATAGGAGAATTTCTGTCAAGCTGTGGTCTTTGGTTTGGAATGAGCTGATCTACGGCTCTGGGGACAAAAGACAGACTTTTTTTTTTTTTTTTTTTTTTGAGAAATCTGAGCTTTGTGAGTAACTCAGAACGTCCATGTATTCTTTTATAATGGAAAGAGGAAGTAGAACCCTGCTTTAGCTAACCACAGAGGAGAAATAACTTGTTACATACCAGAAACACAATATTTCAGTCTCTATCTTTCTTTACACCTTGGGTTTTTTTCTCATCATTTAAGAAACAGAACAAGGTTTTGCAGTTCAAGCAACTCCCTTCTTTGCTTATTGTTATAGGTAAGGGTGCAACTGGACTGAACACATTTCAATGTTACTGCCTCCCTCCAACTATTGTCACTTGTGCCATAGTTATGCCACCTTCAAGACCTAAGGCTTGATCCCCTTAGCTGATACTTGACTAATTTTTTTTTTCACACGTTTTTTTAGTCCATGTGTTTGGGAATGAGGCTCTGTGTACTGCCCCATATACCTTCAGGTACAGTGCAGTATCTCTCCATTTGTATGGAAACATTAAGAAAAGGGACAAAGCAGCTCTTGGGAAACACTGGAATTTGTACCACCATCTCAGCAAACACCGTCTAGTGGACTGATAGACAGCCCAAGATGACCAGATTTGGTTAAGTAGTTATAGAGGAAGCGGAAAATAACATGCACTGGACATGATTCCTTTCTAGTGAACACTTCAAAAATCATGAAGAATTATTTGGGTTTGTTTTTTGTTTGTTTGTTTGTTTTTCTGGATAATTTAGTTAGTTACTGATTCTACTAAAGAAACACTCATAGGCTGAGACCTTGAGGTGCATACATTATAGCTGCCTTGTTTGCTGAAATCTCAGGAATGCCCCGAAACTTAAAGAACTACAGCATTGATTTGCTAAGTTGAACCAAAGTTCAATAGTTGTCTCCATTTATCTCAGGTGGTCATATGTACCATGCATATGAACTTACAACAGAGAGATCTGCCTAGCCTGTTACTGAACAGTGTATGAGTAAGACTATATAGGGAAGAAACTGAAAACTAGAATAAGCCGCTGGATGGAACCGGAGGAAAGAACAAGGTAATGTTAGTACCCTCAACATATTGGTAGCTTAACCCATCTCGACTGATTTTGTGTTATTTTGGTAGGAAATTTTAGGGAAACATTTGAATAAAGACAAGATGATATCTGGAATATTTACAAGGAGCACCTCCCTCATGCCCCACCTCTTAGTTTTGCAAAGCCAGAAGTAAGGTTTTGCTTAAATTTTAAATTTCCTTTGGAAAGAGTGGAACAAGTCTATTTTTTTTTTCCTAAAAAAAAATCAAATTATTTTGTTGCTACATTAATCTGTATCTACTTCACATGTGATAGCACAATGTGCTGGTTCCACTTTAAGTAACTCCTTATGTTTTCAAAGTCAGGGGAGCTGCTGACCTTAACTCTATTTCCCATAATATAGCACACGCTTTTGTCTTGTAAAAAACCATTGCATTGTGGGAATTCTTTAATCCTGATGTGTAATGCAAAATACAGTTTTGGGCAATTAGGCCAATAGAAGTAATGAAGGACACAAAAAGACTTGAATGAGAGCTGTCTCCATGGAAGACAACAGCACAGGCAGTTGCTATTCACTGTTAAATTAACTAAGAATAAAACACTGTAATATCTTCTCACAGATTTTTTTAAAAGTTTCCTGTTTCACAGATTCAGTTATTTTTAATTTTCTGCCTTTTATTCAGTACTGGGATTGCCCTAAAGGTGGCATGGGCTTCCTTTTGCACAGGCAAATATCTGGCTAATATACCACTGACATAACTAGCTTTATGATTCTTGCTTCCAGTTCTCTAACATAAATGGTTTCTTAAAAGTGAAGATGAGAGAGGGTATACATATGTCATTGTAGTTAAGGCTATCGTTCTAACTACTGCTAGAGTAGCTCAGACCTGGAGTCAGGAA